TGCATGCAGGGGGAATTAGAAATGTGATTTGCAGTTTCAAACCCTATATGCGCGGAGTGAAACATTGATACGGCAATTTGTGCCATACTGAGGTTTGCTGAGATTCAAAGCGTTCAAACAAGTATAGATATGAGTGGTTTGCGGTGATGGCGGTAGGCTGCACAGTCGAACTGGCAATTTTACTGCTAGTTTCGAAACTTGCAGTCTAACTGCAAGTTTGTTGTGCAGACTGCGCGAGGTTTGATGTGGAAATAGTCGCACTCCGCGTTGCGTGAACGTTATGCATGGCATACACACACGCGCGGTGAGAGTCGGTGAGTCTCGAGGTGACAATCACACTAATCACGAATGAAGCGGTGCTCATCCTGCAGGGCCATGCGCGTCTACAGTACGTGCGCCTCATCGTTACCATGTGGACGGTGCTCATTGCTCGACGCCTCATATCCGACGTGAACTCACACCTACGCATGGCTTTCCCAGTGAGCTGCACAACATACAAAGCCTGGCCCTGCCAAGACATCATCCATCACCATCATCGCAGCTCTTTCAGCTTCTAGGCTACCCGTCCTTCGCATTCGGCCTCCCGCCAAAGGGTAAGCAGCATCGAATCATCCACAAGCGACTTCATCTCTCTGGTGTAGCGCCCACTTCTGTGCGTCTACTCTACAACCAGCTCGCTTGTCGCTGAGAGGCATAGCTTGCCTTTCTCGAGCCACGTCTACTGCTCGAGCTATCGTAGTCTCAATCACTCTCAGCATGTCGGGCGCCAGCCAAGGTCCTCGGCCTTACCCTGAGCTGTCCATCGCTTCCGAGCGCCCTGTCCACGGCATCGACATCCGCTCCGTCCAAGAGAGGAGGCTGGAAGAGTTCCACGGCGGCCAGTAGTGAGTCGCTGCGCGGTCGATGAAGGCTGCTGACACGTCTTGGAGAGTGATTGAGACGATGCGCTGACTGGCTCTCACACTGCCGCGCCGGGTACAGCTCTCGATGGAATCTGGCTTCAGTGCTCTTTGAGAGCAGCCGCGATGATGAGGGCGTCATCAGGATTTGGCGTTGGGATCCCAAACCTGGCGACAAGCCAAGCTTCGATGAGGCCATCAAGCAGACTTTCAGGCCTTCTTCGACCCATGAAAACTTCTCTCCAAGCTGGTCAAATCACTGGCTTCGTCTGGAGATCCAAGTGCCCAAGCAGTGGCAGAAGAAGGAATGGGTCGAGCTGCAACTTGATCCTGGGTGCGAAGCGATGATCTTTTCATCGGATGGCATGTCTCTGCAAGGTATCACGGGCTCTTATGGTGCTGATCGTAGAGTCGACTTTCCTCTCACGCCAGAGATGAGAGAGGGAACACTGGAGCTCTACGTCGAAGTGACTTGCAACGGAATGTTCGGTGTGCCCAACGGTCAAGAAGGCGACCCGGACCCAAATCGAACGTTCAGCTTCGACTCTTGTGCCATCGTAGTCAAGCGTCCACAAGCTTGGAAGCTGCTTTGGGACTTTGAGATGTTGGAGGGATGCGTCAAGAATATGCCAAAGGACGGGCCTCTGCAGAATAAGGCGCTGTGGGCAGCCAATAAGATCCAGGACACTTTTAGGCGCGACGATATGAGCACCATTGACGCTTGCAGGAAGATTGCGCAAGAGGTGCTCGGCAAAGACTGGGAAGACCTCGAAGAAGGTCTGTACGATGTCGGCAACAGGAAAGATCGCGAGGACGTCGCACTTTGGGCCATCGGTCACACGCACATCGACACTGCATGGCTCTGGTGAGCAAGAGGACAAAAGCCTTCATGGGGCTACGTAATCGCCTCTGACCATGATTCTTTCCCTCTCTAGGCCATACTCCGCCACCCAGCAGAAAGTTGCGAGGTCTTGGAGCACCCAAATCGCACTCATGGAGCGCTATCCGGAGTATCGCTTTACTGCTTCCACAGCCCAGCAGTACATCTGGCTAGAGGAGCGTGCGTGATCGCGGCCAGCAACCAGCGATGTTCGCTTGCAGCTGACATCGTGTACTTGCTTCGCCAGTGTACCCAAAGCTTTTCGCGCGCCTCATCAAAGCAACAAAGCGAGGCACGTTCCAGCCAATTGGAGCTACCTGGGTGGAGTGTGACGGCAACGTGAGTCGCTGTATCACCGGCTGCTGCACGTACCGGTCCAAGTCTCACGAAGAGCCACCTGCTTCAGTTGCCCTCCGGCGAATCTTTTGCAAGGCAATTTCTGTACGGTCAGCGCTACTTCGAATCTCGCTTCGGCAAGCGATGCAACGTGTTTTGGTTGCCTGATTCCTTCGGATACAATGCGCAGTTGCCGCAGATCGCGCGTTCAAGCGGATGCGATTACTTCTTCACTCAAAAGCTGAGCTGGTCAAATGTCAACAGATTCCCCCACAATACAATGATGTGGGTCGGCTTGGATGGCACGCAAATCATCACCCACTTGACGCCCGTCGTGAGTACACCAGTAGCAGCATTCAGGATGCAACCTGACGCTGACCAGGCTGCGATATGTCGCGCAGAATAACTACGATAGCATGTGCGGCGTCGACGATCTCGTTCGCGGGGTGAAGAACAACCAGAACCTGAATGTGCAGCGTGAGTACACACGCCCTGCGCACGCAACCTCTCCTTTGCTGATGGACGTGACCCCGCCGCCATTCCAAGCCACTGCACTTCTGCTCTTTGGCTTCGGTGACGGAGGTGGTGGTCCTACAGCTCCTCATCTCGAGCGTCTTCGCCGTGCGCGGGCCACCTGGAACAATGGCCACACCGAAATGCCCAAAGTAGGTGTCGGACGTTCAGTGCAGGACTTCTTCAAGAATGTGCTCGACATTACCGAAGGCGGCGAACGATTGCCTCGTTGGGTTGGCGACGTGTACCTCGAGTTCCATCGAGGCGTACAGACGAGTCACGGCAGCATCAAGAAGCATAATCGGCAGCTCGAGTCTGCTGTGCAGCGTTTGGAGTGGCTCGCCACACACGCGACTCTTTTGAGTTTGCAGCACGCCTCCGTAACAGGGAATTACAAGTATCCGAAGGATGAGATTGATAGCATCTGGGAGCCTCTGCTGACGAATCAGGTACGTAGTCGAGCGCACGCCGTTCTGCTTCACTTCCACGTTCCGGCTGAATGATTCCTTTCCTGTCTGCCTCTCAAAGTTCCACGACGTGCTGTGAGTCAAAGCTACTGCGCGCTGCAGGCAGGCTTTGTGCTGAATGATATGATCATCGCTCCTACCAGGCCGGGAAGCTCTATTCGATTGGTTTATGACGACGCGGAGCGAATTTACGCTGACCTGCACAAGAGAGTAGCAAAGGCCACTGCGGAGGCCGAGAAGGTCCTCAAGGGTCTTTCCGCCCTAGAAGATGGCACCGACTTCGCAAAGGGGTACAACACCCTTAGCATCCCTCGCAAGCACCTTGCGAGAGTTGATCCGAGCTGGGAATCTGCTGAGCGCGACGGGACTAACAGTGATGGCTCTGAGTATGTGCTCTTGGAGGACAAGCAGGGGACCAACATCGTGGAGGAGCGGACCGCGGTGGTTGCTGCACGTGAAGCTGTCTACGGTAAGGAACTTTGTCCGAAAATGCGATCGTAGGCTGCAGCTTCCTCTAATCAGCCTTGATTCTCCCACACGTGCAATGCAGTCATCCAAGACAACTCCAACTTCACTTTGCGGAATGCGAACGTTTGCCTGACTGTCGCAAGTGGCTTCATTACTAGCATTCGCACTTTGCAGAAGCGTACTTGGGTCGAGCTTATTCCACCAGGCAGGCGTGCTGGCCTGACAATCGCCGAGGACTACCCGCCACAGTTTGACGCTTGGGAGACAGAGGGTGAGCCTGCGGACAGATGCACGCGATTGTTTTTAGACTGTCTGACACGCGTGGTCTTGACTTCCCTTGCAGTCTACTCTCTTAATACCGCCGAAGACATTCCCTTCCATGAAGTGCGCATCTCGGAGGTGGGGCCGTTCCGCGCCGCCTTACGCCTTCAGGCGCAGTGGGGCCGGAGCTCAGCTGTGGTCAAGATCTCGCTTGACGCGATCGGCACTTCTATTGCAAGCTGCCAACACAGCACGAGCGGCCTGCACTTCCAAGTCGAGATCGACTGGCAGGAGAAACATCGGTTGTTGCGCTTCGAACTGCCCACCGTCCTTAATGCAGACAATGCTTCTTTCGAGACTCCCTTCGGTGTCACGAAGCGACCTACTACCCGCAACACGACGTGGGAGGCGGCCAAGTTCGAAGTTGCAAGCCACAAATTCTTTGATCTTAGCGAGTCTTCATTTGGCGTGTCGATCCTCAACGATTGCAAGTACGGAGCCAGCGTCGAGGGAGGGCGTATGCGACTTTCACTGCTCAAAGCGCCAACGTATCCCGATGCTCATACGGATGAAGGCAAGCACTCTCTAAACTTTGTCATCCTGCCTCACTCCGGTCCGCTATCGATGCTGACGGTCAATGCAGCTAGAGAGCTCAATTCTCCGTTGACGCGAGCAGCAACGACGCGTCCCAGCAAGGCATTCAGCTCGCCTTTCCGTTTGCATCAAGATGTCGAGTCCTCCATCGTTCTCGACACGATCAAGCGTGGAGAAGCTGACTTTGACTACCATGGCAAGACCGGCTCGGGTACTAGTGTCATTCTCCGTTTCTACGAAGCATTGGGTGCGCATGCTGAGGCGAGTCTGGATATCGTCGGACTGAACGTCCAATCCGTTGTGCTAGCCAATCTATTGGAAGATACGATTGGCAAAGCCTCGGACTACCACGTTGATCTCACGACCCCTGCAGATGAGGGCTGGACCGAAGTTGAAACCGACTTCTCTCGTGAAGCTAAGACGCTGCAGTACCAGAGTGGTCCTGATGGAGAGCACACCAGGGTCCGACTGCACCTCAGGCCCTTCCAGGTCATTACACTCAAGGTTCAGCTGGCTGCCTAAGCAGCTACATCACGACACATCGTACAGACTACACTTGCTCAAGTTACGCCTTTTACGCCGCTCGCAGCACACGAATGCATTCCATTTGATGACATCTGAAAGGCTGCGGAGGTTGCAAGGAGCCAGAATGGAAATGTAGACCCGGAGGAACGCTTGGCGAAGCAAGTGGAACGGCAGTGTGACAAAGGCACAGCGTCAATGAGCTGCGGGAGCTCACTGGCTCAACCACTTGGCGTGGGAGCGGCGCTAGTGCGTGGGATCGGCAAGGCAATGGACGATCGCGAGGGAAGTGGATGATGAGAAGGGCTGATCATAAGCCCATACCTGATCTCGCAGCACTCATGAGTGCCCAATTCGAAGTGTCGCCATCCACGCTCCACATGTTTATGCCTGCGATGCCCGCCTGTTTGGCGAAGGATCCCTTGTCGTAGAGGGAATAGGTATCGTCGTAAGTGACGACCCTGTTACCGTTGGACAGAAAGGGAGTGTCGGAACAATCGTCCCAGTACATTGTCCAGCCCGATCCTGCCCCATATGTACCATCCGACTTGACCTTTAGAGCTCCTTGATCGACCAATTGTCTGAAATTGACCTGACCGTCGGAGCTCGAGCCGTCGAGACCGACCAATTGTGCCCTCTTGGCAAAGGATATTGCGCGATATCGAGGGTCGCGTTGAGGCTCTGGACGTACGGGCCAAGAAGCTTTCAAATCGTCCGTCTCCCTGCGTGTTGCTTCGCCGCGCTGCCTCAGAGTCTTTTTGGAGCTCGTGTTGATGTAGCCGTAACCCGCAATGCCCAGGATGATCTTGGATCTGGGCATTCCTGCTGCAGCCCACTGTTTCACTCCCGCGGCAGCCGAGGCGGCAGGCTGCGTGGAGTTGCCGCACAGATTGGCAAGCGGGGCATTGGGACCGGGATTGGAAGAGGATCCCCAGACATCGTAATTCATCAAGGTGATGTAGTCCAATGCACTGGCTGCTCTGCTGACATTGTTGACAGGGCTTCCCGAAGCTGCTAACCATGGCAAGTGAGGCACCGCAGCTGCCAAGATGGGCTTGGAACCTAGAGCCTGGCGCAAATCCACCAAGAATGTCTGGAAATTCTTCGTGTCGGACGGGTCAGTCGGTCCTCCTTGAACATTGTTTGGGTACTCCCAATCAAAATCGAAGCCGTCGAGACCGTACTTGGATTGCAGAGACTGCACACTCTTGATGAACGTGGATCTCAAGCTTTGCGAAGAGACTGCTCCGCTGAATCCATTCGAGTTTCCCCAGCCTCCAAGGGAGAGGACAACCTTCTTGCCGTTTGCATGGGCAGAACTGATCAGCCGCTTGAGCAGGGCAGTAGATCTGTCCCCATCCGAAAACTTGATGGATGCGTCTGATTGCGGCGTAGCAAAGGCAAAATTGATGAAATCAAACTTGGTCCAATCAATCTTTTCGGGCGCCAGCGTGCCAGCAGTCCAATCAGCCCAGTAGCCTGCCGAGACCATTTTGTTCTTGGTCGAGTTCGAGTTGGTCGTCGATGCGGGTTTTGCAGATGACGACGTCGACGTGGCCTTGCTAGACGAAGCAGATGACTTTGTAGAGGTGGACTTGGGAACTGAGGAAGAAGAGGATGCAGCATTGCTCTTCTTGGTGCCGCAAGTACCCCGTCTCCTTTGCCTCTTGGATCCATCTGCCTGAGCTCGCCTCCGTCTTTGTCTGCCGTCTCTGATTTGCTGCGTGACCTGCGCTGCGTAGCTCGACCTGCTCCGATCTCGCCTTTGAAGGCCTCCCTGAACTGACTCGCCTCGCAAGTTCCCTCGAGTCTCGAGCAATCCTAACAATCGTGTGCCTAGCGCCACAGCGCTGCGCGTATCAAGCACTGGCAAGGGCGGTCGAGCTCGTTCGTCATGGAGCGCAGCGCCAAAAGCCTCGGCTTGCGACGCCTCGAGAGGTGCTGCACTCGTCCTCGTCGTTGCGGCTGCAGCGATGATGAGAGCACAAAGACCTGCGAGCCTTTGCAGCTTCATGTCGATCTTGCGCGTTGCAGTATCGACTCCTGGAATACAATGCGCGTTCAGGAGTTCCAGACTCCAGGCTGTGCTCTCTCGAAGATGCGAAAGAGGTGCAAGAGCGCCCGGCGCTTGTGAATTTGAGAAGGAGAGTGGGATGAGGGAACGAGTGTGAAGAATGAAGTTGGGTGCCTGACCCGAGGAACCGCTAGGGTCGCAAGAAGGAAAGAATGTGGGAAGGAAAAAAATTTGAAAGGTGAGCCAAAGGGCCTGTCCTGATGGTGGTTAGAGGGGAAGAAGAAAAGAAGGCATTGGGCTGAGCTCAGCCTTTGAGTGAGAGGAGCGAAACGTTGAGCATCGCAAAGCGGGCCAGGCACAAAGGGAAAGTTGGGCATCGATGGCTGTCAGCTCAGCAGAACACAATGCAAGGCGCATACTGCACGCCTCTGCACCTCAGCCCCCAACGCTCTCCCAACGAACACCGAGCATAAGCTGCCATACGTACCTCGACGTGCTCCATGACGTTCCTGCGGTCTTGCACGTCTTCATCCTTCGCGGCGATCTGAATATCTCTCGATCACTCTGGTATCGCACAGGTAGGTACATGCGCTGTCTTGACATCCCTCTCCTAGCTCGCTGCGCAAAATAGCAATGTGAGTGGCATACATGGTGGCATGCCTAATCTAGCTTGCCATTCTGCCACAGCAGCGCCGAGAAGTGCCGAGCAATGCAGCATCCGGTGTTGGCAGTAACATTGGCCCCGTACGAGTGCAGTTGTGCAATGACCGCGTCGTGAGCACTCGTGAATGCCGAGGCAGCAGCTATGCAGCAGCAGGCGTGGATTGAAGTGTGAGTGTATAGTATAGCGCCCGCACCTGACCACCCAGGTCGTGCGCTGGGTCGGAGCAAAGAGGAGGCGCGTAGAAGCTTGGTCAACGGGTCTCAACGGACGAGCAACGTCGGATCAACGCTGTGCTCTTCTGGCTCGTCTGCATCGGCTCGGCCCGTGTTTGGGTTGCGCGGTAGGACTGCGGAAGAAGTTCAACAGCAGAGACCGCGGTTGCGACAGCCACTGAGCATCTACTGTATATCTGCATTTGGTCATAGCAATGCATGGTCGCTGCCACTTGCGTGGAGAAGCGACGTCAGATGTCAATGTGCGAAAGGGGCGGGATGAAGTGTTGGAGGCGCGATGGCGGAGGAGAAAGGAGGCAGGGATGGGTCGATCGAGCTTACTGCATGAGGTTGGGCGCGCGCGCCTGTTCTGCATGCTTCCTTTCTCGTCCAACCGCGGCGAAACACGAACATCGAGCCAAGTCAACTCACGACTCGCTCACGCGCAACGCCCGCGCGCAGAGACGGCGCCCCATGTTTGTGAGAGAATTCATGCGATTTGTCTCGGTGGGCGCGCACCACCGCGTACGTGAACTCGCATACTCGTCAGCATGACTCACACTGATGAGCACCCACGTCACGTGCATCAAATTTCAATCGCTCACTCAACACTCATGACTCAACACTCATCAGACTGTACTACGCAGCGAGCCTCCACGACGATCGTCATCTCTCACGCACCTCCTCGCCCTATGACTGTGGCTCTTCGAGTCAGCATTCGTGATTCGTGATTGCAAGCAGCTGCTGGTCCGCAGACGCAAAGACCTGCTTGACTCGTGATTCAAGCTTGCACTTCGATAGCATACATATAGCTGACTGCCTAGCTGCTGCTGCAGCGCTTGCACCCCGCCGAAATTGCCGAAGTCCAAGCTCACGTTGCGTGATGTAGCGGTAGGTACAGCAGCGGGGAAAGTCTTGTGAGTCGCAAGTCTCCACACCCGCGCTAAGACTTGCACTTGGTCAGTCGACCTTATGCGTGCGGGGCAAGGGCCAGGAGACACAAGCCAGCCGATTACGGCATCCGTCACCGTGAAGTCAAGAGCTGCTTGCTCGTTAGATTGGCTTTCATATAGTGCTGGACATAGCTTCATGAGAGATGCGCACTACAAGAGGATCAAGCACTCCGACTTGCAACATCTTGTCGACCGGCATGCACTGGAGCAGCGGCAGTGGAGAAGACTAGACAGCAAGTGCTTGTCCTCCTCATGCGGAGCGGAGCAGCACAGCAGCATAGTCTGGCAATGATGGAATCGATCTTAGCCGATCGGCTTAACTAGCCTCGCATGATTCGCACCATCTCCATCATGGCACCTGTTCATATGAGGAGAGCATCTATCCCGACTTGGAAGCTCGGCCTTGACTTGAGCATGTCACGGAGCGAGGAGCGAGGAGCCTGAAAGGAGAGATTCCCTTTCCCGCGCGCAAATGCCGTTGCTATTGAATATCAAACCAAAATCACAATCACAGAGCCGCAGCGGCACGACCCCTCTTGAAGAAGTAGCTGCCATGCAGTAAGCGGCTCGGCACCCTTTTTTCCCACACCGATACGATGCCAGAGGTCTCTGTCTGTCTGCGTTGATTGACACTTACGGAGTGAAGCATGCTGGTCATGCTCATCACGGGTGCCTCGGCCTGCCGGACGGAACTCATCTCATGTGACCTTCGACTTGGAGTACCCATGCAGCATTCTTTGTTTGACTGGACACCCCTCACTTGCCATTCGTGAGCGGCCAACCTTGCCAACTCGCTTTTGACCGTCATCTTGAGCAGAAGCCCAGGCGTACTGAGGTGAAACAGAAGTTTGACTGATCTGAATGTGGGCCCAGACAACAAGGATGCGCACATCTTGCGGTCTCTCGTTGACCGTGCTGCAGTTGGCGGTGGGGCTGCTCACCTTGTTGTCCGTAGGAGTGCAAGGCATCATACCCCCGCAGATCGTCTTGCAGAAGCGCATCACTTCTCAAGCAGACGCTGTTGGCCTTGAACAGATCCAAGCGCAAGAGCAGCAAGTTGGCAATGGTACGTTTTACAATGGAGCAATGCATCCAGGAGCGGATCCCTTTACACTTTGGGACGAGCGCAGCGGCTCGTACTATGCCTACTCGACGTCGGGGGCGGAGGGTAGCGGATACCTGTTCGCAATATACAAGTCTCCCGATCTCTCCACCTGGACAAAGATGGATGGAGGCGCGATGAAGCAATGCTCAGGCCGAGGAACGCCTCGAGAATCGGGTCAAGCTTGCTGGGCACAAGATTGGCACTGGGCCCCTGAAGTCTACCACAACAACCAAACCGGCTGGTATTTTTTCTTTTTTGCCGGTCGATTGCAAAAGGACTTGACAAAGCACTACTTCAGATACTCCAAATTCGAAGAGGGCTCAAAAATTGGCGTCGCAGTCTCCAGAGAACCACACGGTCCTTTCGAGGAGATCCAGCATCGGCCCATTCAATACTTTCCATTCGATCCCGATTACTATGATGTCAATCTCATCATGGACGAAGAACAGCTCTTGCCTCCAAAAACGCAGCAGGAAGGCAGACAAGCACCGAAGGGCACATTCATCCCAATGATCGACGCCAACGTCTTTTTCGACGAGAATGGCAAGATTTATTTGTACGGAAGTAGAAATGCGTACAGAAATTGGGTCTGGGATGATCAGCTCAACAAGTACATCGAGTAAGTGTGCTGCTTGCTCAGCACGAAACTTCGGTGGGTGCCTCGACGTCACTGCTGACGGCTTGTGCGTGGGTCCAAACGAAACGTAGAGAGTCGAACGTCATTGGCGTGCAATTGACCACAGACTGGTGGGAGGATCCAAACGCGAAAACGATGCCAGAGATCATCAGTAGCGAAAAGGACAAGACCGCTCCAGATGCTCCTGATTTGCCTCGCAACATCACTTCGTACAATGGTACCGGAGAAATTGGAAGTCCACGGAGGAAAGAGTAAGCGCTTATGCTCTCCACTCACGGGCGCCGGCTGAAAAACTGTCTGCTGATGTTTGTCACCAAATGCGGCCCGAAATGTTTAGCGGATTCTACACGGTCATATCTTACCACGCCGATCCGCAATCCTGGTGAGTCGCAGTACCAGCTGCGTTCTGATTCAGGTTGGACGCGTCCTTGACTAAGAGCACAAACATCGTCGCCGCGGGTCAGGGAAAATGCGCACGTCGATGACTACCAAAAGTCCAACGGTACCAACAAGGATCGAAGGTGGTCGGAGGGGTCAACGCTGATCTCCCGCAAGCTTCGCGCATCCAACTCCTCGAACACGACCTACCTCATCACCTACAGTGCCAACAACTTCCAATCGCCCGACTGTACGTCTTTCTCGCGAATTCCCTTTTTCCGCGAGCCACCTTGCTAAGACTCCTCGCTTCCATTTGGCGCTCAGATGGGGTCGGCTTTGCGTACAGTCGTGATTCTCCTCTCGGTCCGTTCCGCAAGTCGGCGAAGAATCCCATCCTGAGTTCCAAACCCAACTCCGACCCGCCAATCTACTCGGTGGGACACGGGAGCATCATAGCGACTCCATCGCCCAACACGCTCTGGCTGGGTGCTCAAGACGTCACTCACGAGACACCGAGCGGCTCTGAGTTATTCTACGTTGTGAGTAGTCTTAAAGCACAAAGGCTCGAAATGCTCGAAACTCAAACGGCGTCTATTGCATCGCGGATGCGAACCGTCCAGCACCACGGTCGCAATTCCACAATGTCAGATCGGTTCTTGTACACGACGCGGATGAAGATAGATGAGAGTAGCACAGCAGAACAGGGTCTGGACTCGACGATGTCCATGTCCTTGACGAGTCAAGATCAGCCTTTGCCACTCGAGGTCCAGCCCATCACATTTGGCCAGCTGTCGTGCGCCTTCTCAGAGACGCGCACGAGTCTGCTCATTTCGGTCACTTCGCACCGAAATGGCACCTTTGACATCAGGGAAGGCACCAATCGCGTCGTGGTGGTGGATGCGGACGGAAGACCTCTGCTCGGTGAACCCCAACCTGTCAATGGCAAACACGGCCTGTTCATGCTAAGCTACATCAAGCTCAAACCGGGATCGGACAGCGTCAGGTATGACCGTCTCAACCGCGCAGGCGAGTGGAAGACCGTCGTGACCGCCGAAGTACCAAACACGTGCGCCAGGTGCGTTTCACCTGGTCTAGAGCCAAGTCCGTAGCGCTGAACCCTTACCGCGACGAGCGTCGACCTCTGCACACAGTAGCACAGGTACCAATGCGATGCAAACTCAGTCCGGCACATCTACTCGATCCCGCGAAGGACAGCAATGGTTGGTCAGCGCGGCAGAAGCGGCAGAAGCGGCGCGTGCTGCGACTGGCAGGGCATAGCCTGCTCTCAACCACAGCCACTTCGCCAAATGTGCTCCTGTCCCCTCGCCATTGAGTCTTGTCGGGCCGGCGCAGCTTGCGCATTGTACCATGTACTAAAATACATCGAGCGCGCGCACCTACCACGAGAGCATTCGCAGGCCTGTTTGAGAGCTCTGAGTCAAATCGAGATGTTATTCTTGTGCCTGAACGGATCTTCCATAGAGGAACAAAGTCCAATAGCAGCTTCGGTGCAGCGTGTCTGATCCTGCTCGCAATGTGACCCGAAGCGCCTAGATGGCCTTGCTCTTGACAAGACCTAGTGGTAAGAGGTCCAAAACATTCTGTTAGCAATTCAAAGTACGTGGACTCCATCTGCTCGGCATGCGAGACTCACGCTCGATCTCGGAGACCGCATCGTCCAGGATCGACTTCTGGAGCTTCTCGTCGCGCAGGCTGGCAGTGACCTTCTCGATGACGGATCGCGCGAGCTGCTTCTGCTCAGCCTCACGCTCTTGAGCCTCGTAGCGCACCCAAGAGTCAAGAACGGACTTGACTTCAGCAGCCAATTCGGTCTTCTGGCGAAGCTCAAATGCGGCTTGTTCGGTTTGCGCAGTCTCCTATACGCGGTGAAGGCGGCCATGAAGGGTGGCAGGATCAATGTCGTGCTCAGAGAACACACGTGTTCAGCAATAAGGTACGCACCTTTGCGAGCGTAAACAGAGACTTGGTGATGTTGACAACGTCTTGTTGCTGGGATACGTTGTCAATGCGGCTCTGGACTGCCTTGGTGTGTTCGGCACGAGCTCCGTTCAGGATGTTCGTGAATTTCTGTGAGAGACAAGACACACGTCAGCTGAGCGCACGCAGCTCCCATTGGCCAGCCTGACTCGATGCGCTCTCGACCTGAAGCGTTATGGAAGTCCACCCTCGTAACGAAGCCGGTCAGGCCTGCTCTACGCGACGTCGCCAGTGGATCGCACAGTAGGCTCGTGTCACTGCAATCGGCCCCACTCTAGTCCAGCTTCACGCCATTTCCATGCATGATGCTCACGTCAACTTGGCCCTGGGCCCACTCCTGGTAGGGACCGGAAAGTGTTCTTCCGATGAGGGTAGCGAAGATGACGAAGCCGGCGAGGATGACGGTTTCATCGTTGGCAACGTAGAGTTCGTTGGAGATGGCCAAAGCCCCGATACCAGTTCCAGCAGTGACCCATCCGGTCTTGCTGACAATGGAGTTGCCGGGCAGGAGATCGAGGAGGGCGGTAGCGCGCTTCTCTGGTGCTGGCTTGTCGGCGTATCCGCGAGAAGCGCTGGGGATGGTGACGGCTTGGGCCATGGCGGCCGAGGGGCGCGCAGCGGTGCGCAGCGCACCAGCGCGGGGCAGAGCAGCTCGAAGACTCATCTTGACTCGAGTCTCACTAGAGGTAAGGGTCTGATGTCTATGGCGGTGAGTGTGCAAGAATGATTGCCGACTCTGGACCACTTCGTCTTCCGCCAGGCTTGCGCTCCGACGTCGAACATCATCAGCGTGACGCCCATATGATTCTGGCGGCTGGCATCCGTGCAGGCAAGACTCATGCGCGCGGCTCGAGCCGAGGGTGATTATCTGTGATGAATGACCACGTGGCAGGACTGTCGATCTTGAGAGGTGCATGTGCATACGCTCGAGAATATTCGCACGCTAACAAGCGGGCGCCGCCTCGCGTCCTCTTCTGCTTCCACCATGACGTTTACATTCACATACGTGATTCACGATTGAGAATTCACATTCGT